GAGGTCTAGAGAGTCACACTGCAGGAAGGCATGTGGACTCCTTGAAAGATTTTTAGTGCAGGGTCTCCTCGTGTGAGACGCACGGGTGCCAGAGTGGGTTAGGGGTTGGACTGCCCGCCTTCAAGGTCAGCAGTTCAAAAACTACCTAGCTGCTCCTCTGGAGAAAGATGAGATATTCTACTCTGGTAAAAGTTTACCATCTGGAAAACCCGAAGGAGCAGTCCCACCTGTCCTGTTGGGCCAGTATGTGACAGCACCAATTCAATAGCAGTAAGATGTTGAGGATTTCCTTGGCCGAGAGCCCCAGGTGGTGCTTGTGTGTCGGACTGCTGACCAGGAGATCAGCAGTCCGGAACCACCAGCCACTCAGGGACAAAGAGGAGGTTTTCTATGTATATAAAGAGTGACCGTCTCAGAAACCCACAGGGCAGTTCTACTCTGTCCCATAGCATGGCTATGAGTAGGTAATCATCTCAATGGCAGTGAGTTCATTCATTCATTCATTCCCTCATTCGTTTGTTTCGGCTGTGAGTTTTGAGTGATCTCCTTGTCTGGTTCCGAGTGGACATAGTAGAACTTTTCCAGGCTTGTAAATAAACTTTAACCTGCCCTTCTGGTCATTCACTTGGTTTTATACAGCTCTGGGATGTTAACTGAGAAGCAGCTGCATTTCCAAGTTCATAGAGTCAGTCACTGACCAGTTATCAGAAAGTCATGTCCATTAGGGCTGCCAAGCCCCATGCTGTCTTGGTGTTGACTCTTGAGTGAATCAGACTTCTTTTTCTGTTTTTTATAATCAGGCCATTACAGAAAGATGAGGATATTTACTGCCATTACGTTGATGACCTACTGCCATTTACTGAACGGTAAGGCATCGTGAACTTGGCTACTTTCAATATTTTAACCCTGAGTTAGAAATTACAATAGTAATCAGAACAGATGTAATATCTTTACAAAGAGAACATTTCCCCCACTTTTTTTTTTCAAAAGTAAGCCATCCGCATCATTGTACAAAAGGAGAGGGAATGTGGACAAACTGAAATAAACAAAATGCACCCATGGTCCATTTCCCAGGGATAACAACTAAAAATATTTGGGGAAATGGTGTACATATACTGTGTGTGTGTGTATGTTGTAAGCAAGGGTCATTCTGTCCACCTTGCCCTGTGACCTGCCTTTCCCAGTGGGAAAATTTAAGCATTCAGGAACGTGTCAAGGTTGCACAGAATGGGATTCATCCTAAGACCCACCTCCTACATCTCCATACCCACGCGCCCCTAGCCAGAGAACTGGCCGTGCGTTGAGGTAAGCAAGAGGAGAGGACTGATGGATGCACCAAGAGGAGCGGGAGAAGGCAAATTCTGACATTTCTATAGGAAGCAAAGTTGGCTTGGTGATACATATCCCACCGCCCTGTACTGTGTCCCCGGTACATGTATGTTTAGGGATTGTAAGATGACAACTGTTCAAGTGACTAGAGCAGGAGCCCTGGTGGTGTAGTGGTTATGCATTGGGGCTGTGATTCTCAAGGTCAACTGTTCAAAACCACTAGCCTCTCTCAGGGACAAAGACTGGATTTTCTACTCCTGTAAAGAGTTAAGGTCTCTGAAATCCACAGGGGTGGCGGTTCCACCCTGTCCTAGAGGCTCACTATGAGCCGGCATTGACTCAACAGCAGTGAGTTTGGATTTTAAGTGACCAGAGAAAGGTGTTGTCAATTGGGCCCCCGTTTTGAAACTTCCTGGAGGAGTGTGCCCTCTCACACAGGTGGCTTCTCTTCCTCTTCCAGCGTTTACCGTCAGTGTGTCCAAGGACCTGCACGTGGCCGAGATTGGCGACAATGTCACCATGGAATGCATATTCCCGGTCGAGAAGGAGCTAGACCTGGCTGTGCTCGTGGTCTACTGGGAGATGGAGGATAAGAAGATTATCCAGCTGGTGCAGGGGCAGGAAGACCCGGAGGTGCAGCACAGCAGTTTCAGAGGGAGGGCCCAGCTGTTGAAGGAGCAGCTCAGGCTGGGGAAGGCCGCCCTGCAGATCCACGACGTCAAACTTCGGGACGCTGGGGTCTACTGCTGCCTCATCAGCTATGGAGGGGCCGACTATAAGCGGATTACTCTTAAAGTCAGCGGTAAGCATACTCCGAAGTATAGCTCACTGCCAAGGAGTCGATACCCACTCCTAGCGACCCTACACAGCAGGGTGGAACAGCCCTCTGGCTTTCTGAGACTGTAACTATGGGAGTAGAAAGGCCCGTGATTCTTTCTCCTGAAGAATTATGATAGACACAGTCAACTGCCCTCTCGTGGACTCAGGCTGTTTCTTGCTTGGGAATTCTAGCCTTGCTTTCTGGTAGACCAGCAGCCATCTGTTCATTGATTCGTACATTCAGTCATTCATTCATTCACACACACACACACACACACACACACACACACACACACTCCAATGAGCATTTCTGGAGCACCTCCTATTTGACAATCACTTGAACAGTTAGTTAAGCGTTTAGCTGTTAACTAAAATGATGGTTTAATGTCCACCTGGTGGTGCCTCCAAATAAATTCCTGGTGATCTACTTCCGAAAAATAATTGGCCACTGACAAACCCTATGAGTTCTACTCTGACACTCACAGGTGACTATGAGGTGGGACTGACTCAGTGGTAGCTGGAGCCTGGAGACCAAGAGCCAAATAGGACAGGAGCATGGTCTGCCGTGCCTTCAAGCCCAGCTCTCTGCCATGGGGTCGATGCCGACTCACAGCCACCTGAGAGCACAGTCGGGCGCGCCCCGGTGGGTGCCCGAGAGTGTCACTCTTTTCAGTAGAAAGCCTTGTCTTTCTCCCAAGTTTCCTGAAAACCAACTCCTATTTTAAATTTTGTAATGATTATAAACCATGCATGGGCTTGCATACTGTTCAGCTGCCACCTTGTTGTTGTGTTGTTGCTGTGCACTGTTGATGTTGTGCACTGCTGTTACTGTGCACTGTTGTTGCGCACTGTCGTTGATTTGCACTGTTGTTGTGCACTGTCATTGTGTGCACTGTCGTTGATCTGCACTGTTGTTATGTACTGTTGTTGTGCACTGTCATTGAGGTGTACTGTCATTGATGTACACTGTTGTTGTGCACTGTCATTGATATGTACTGTTGTTGATGTGCACTGTCAATGATGTGCACTGTTGTTGTGTACTGTTGTGCACTGTTGCTGTGTACTGTTGTTGTGTACTATCGTTGCTGTGTACTGCCAACGTGATTCCGGCTCAGCAACCCTAAAGGACAGGCTGGAATTGCCCCGATGACAGTCCTGAGTCTGCAATCTTTTTTATTTTAAGGAACATTTACATTTATATACTTCCATGAATCCATAACCCAGATCAATCCTTAGTCTGTTTCCAGCACACCTCAAGGTGTTTTCTCATACCATTTCATGTCAGCAAACATGTTCTTCTCCCCTCAGGTTAAACTTGATTTTGGCTTATTTCATACATATCTCCCTGCCCCTACCCCCCACCACACCTAACTTAAGATGTGTTAACTTATTATGATTAGTAACTTACCCTCCCTACCCCACCCCACCCCTCCCTTCTTCTGACATCCCTCAAAGACTGTTTTCACGTGAAAACCTTTTCTTGGGTTTTAATGATAGTGGTCTCATACCACGTGTGTCCTTTGGTGATGATCTTATCTCACTCAGCCCAATGTCCTCCAAGTTCATCTGTTATGAGGCATTCCCACAGACTTGTCATTCTTCTTGGACAACACAGTGTGTGCGCACTACAATGTGCTTGTCCATCCTGCCGCTGATGGGCATGGAGGGGGTTTCCTTCCCTCTGTTGTTGGGACCAGGGCTGCCGTGAAGATGGGTGGCCATTGTGGAAGCTGCTAGGGGTCACAGACAAAGTCTACTCTCTTCCATTCCAACTTCCCACAAGTCTTTTCCTCAGGCGTCTGCTCCCATCATGACTCTATTTCTCTGCGACATATGCCAAGTCGTGGGATTGCTGGGTTCTATGCTGTCTTTATTTCCAATGTTAGACAGAACGCTGCACTGTTTTTCTGCTGCAGGGTGAGAGAGTCCCAGCCTCTCCACAGCACCACCATACTGTCTTCCTGTCTGTTTGAACTTGACTATGCGTGCTGGAGTGAGGTGCTATCTCATCCCTCCCCCTGATTAGCGTAGCTCTGCTGGCTGACGATCCTGAACATTTCTTCATGTTTGTCGCCCCTGGATGTCTTCTTGGGTCAAGTGTCTATCCGTGTCATCTGCCCATTTTGGATTTGGATTTTTGGTCATTTTGTGGCTGAAGTGCCGAAGTTTTCTGCACAAGTTAGAGGTTAGCCCTGTGTCTGCTATGTCATTGCCCAAACCCTCACCCCCATAATCTGTGGGTTCTCTTTTGTATTCTTTCGGTGAAGGCCTTTGAAAAGCTGTGCTCTGTGCTAGCAGATCACCATACCCTTACTTCCACAGAGCCCTGATGGGTGCAGACCACCAGGCAATTGTGAGCAGCCGAGCTCTTTAGCCACTGTGCCATCAGGCCCCTTCCCAATACCACAGAAGGGAAGAAGTATCCCATCATCACCCCATCTTCCCTGGAGCCCCCAACTAATAACCGTGTGTGTGTGTGTGTGTGTGTGTGTGTGTGTGTGTGTGTCCATCCTGCCAAAAAATGCCTTTGTTTCAAGTGCGCCAGTGCTTTCCTTCTTCCAAGCATCTCTCTGTCAGGATGGAATAAATAGATTAAAAACACACCCCAGTCAAAAGCACTCCGAGGTCAATTCGCAAAGGTAGAAGAAGCCTTCACACCGAGTGTGGAGAGGCAGCTCCTCCTCAGAGAGGCCGGAGCGGTGCGCTGGGGCACGCAGTCATCATGAGGAATTGAGACCAGTGGCATCTTGGAGTGCTGACGAGGAACTTGCGAGGGTCAGTTCCTGGGAACTCACCCGCAACTAGGTCATCGGGCTCGCTTGGGTTCACAGTTCTGGGTGACCGCCAGCCAAGTGCAGGAAAACACCTTTGCTGATGGTCTCTACTTTCACTGAAAAGATTCATAGAATTGAAATCTGACCATGCTCAGGCGGGAGCATCCAACCCACCTTTCCACGAAGAACAGAAATCCCCTGTGCAGTGTCCCCAAAGAACTCTCCACCACCACCCCTCCACCAGGACCCCTGCCCATATCCAGGTGAAAGGCCTCTCTAAGACTGCGTGGAAATTTCCCTTCATAGAGCCCCACTCTAGAATTATGTGCTTGCTTCTTTTGTAGAAAGGATGACTTTAAATCGCTGACTGCCCTTAAATCAAGGAGTTCTGGTGGCAGTTCAAACCCACCCACTGTTCTGAGAGAGTAAGACGAGGCTGTATACTCGCATAAAGATTGACAGTCTCAGAAACTTTCCCTGGGGTCGCTATGAGTCAGAGCCAACTGGCCATGGGCTGGGCATGACGAAATCAATGGTCCTGTGGCTTTTCCATTCCTAGGCTAACCACCACTAATCTGAAGGTCCATGATGTAAGTAGAAGAAGTTCCCATCATAAAGGGATCATTGGTGATTAGAAACCACCCCTCCCTCCCTAATGGGGGTATGGGAATTGCACCCACTTCAGGGTGCGTTCCGGGGCCTCTGAGCTCAGCTCAATGAACTCTGTTGTTGTCAACAATACACCACTTGTCCTGGTGGCTAGGTTGAGTTTCCATTAAATCTTTTGAAATTCCACTTCTCCAGAATAATGAAAGAATGTTTGGGGAGGGAGGAGAGTGAAAGGGGTGGGGGGTGGGGGGTATGTGTTCAGTGTCCCCCTCAGTCTAGCAGCCAAAGCTGAGCAGCTACCGTAGTTCAAGGCATTAGAGAATGGTCTGATCAGATGGTTGGGTGCCGTCCAGTCCGTGCGGTTTCTCGGCCTGTCAGTGACCCTACGTATAACAACGTCACGGCAACACACCGTCCACCACAGCACGGCAAACGGAGAAGTGGTGGGAGCGAGATGAGCCCTATGAAAACCCGAAACCGGCCCTTCTGTGGAGTCGACTCATAGCCACCCTACAGGACAGAGTAGACCTGGGGATTCATGTGGCTGTAGCTCTTTACAGGAGTCGAAAGTCTCGTCTGTCTTTCGACAGCAGAGTAGCTGGTGGATTCAAACTGACGGCCTTACAGTTAGCAGCCCAGCGTGTAGCAGCCCAGCGTGTAACCCCGTCATCACCAGGGCTGCTAGCCCTCTGAGGGGGCGTTTCATTACTCAGCAGTGCTGAAGCGGGGAGGGGACGCAGAGCCCAGGCTGCCTTTCCTCTTGTGGGAGGAGGTGTCCTCCTCTGCCTCCGCGCTCAGGCCCTGGGAGCCCTGCCCCTGAAGTGGGAGCGGTGTTCTTCCAGTGGGAACCAGTTACCTTCCAGTAGACTCTGACTCACGGCAAGCTCTGCTGCCCCAGGCAGAGCAGGCGGTTTTCCAGTAGTAGGTCGCCAGGCCTCCCCCCACCCCCCCAGGTGCCAGCCTGTACGCTGGCAGCCCAGGTGGAGAACCGTTTACACTACACTGGGACTCTGCCAGGTGGAGGAGATGCGGACTCCTCGTGGCCCTCTGGGGTAGAACAGAGCTGTCCTGGGTTGCATCTCTGCCGGGAGCAGACCCCCGGGCCCTTCGACCCCCCTGTGGGTCTGCTGTGTGCTTTGGTTTGCGCAGAAGGAAGTCTGGTCCTGAAATGACTAAGCAGTAGCCCCAGGGGGACTAGTCAGACAGGGGACCCCCCGGGCCCAAGCGTCTCACGTCTTTGGCCTGTCTGTTGGGTGGCTAGATGACTGTCAGCATTCCAGTCTGGCTCTGTCCTGTTCTTTGCATACAGTGGTTTGGGGGCTGGCGTTGAGGGGACCGTTGCAGCCTCCACCTCCTGTCTGGACAGCTGTCCAGGGTCCCCGGTCTCAGGGCAGTAGAAGCTGGGTGGCCGGCTGGTGAAGGTCAGTTTTGCAAGCAGGCAAGGCAGTCAGTGTTTGCATGTCCTCTGATGCAAATGATTTCCCAGCAATGCCTGGATCTTATCTTCCCATCACTGCAGAGATGTCATCAGCAGCTTCCCACGGGGGTTTAGTCAGCATGGAGTTTCAGGGTGAAGCATTTCAAAATTGAAAGAGTTTAGTTCTGCGCTCTCTCACCTGTGGGCATCCCTGGGGCTCTGTGAAACCTTCTCTGGGGTGAAGCTGAAATACCAGACTCCCAGTAGCTGCCCTTTCATTGAGAATGTTGATTTCCCTTGATCACAGAATTTACCAGCAGGGAAAATACTATCAATCCCATGTCTGCTTCCCAGGACCGAGAGTGGGGTTAGGCATCTGAAAAGGACCAAATGTTGGGTGGTTATTTGGATCAGTGCAGTGGTTTTCGCGTTGGGATGCTAACCGCAAGGTCAGCAGTTTGAAACTCCAGCCCCTCTGTGAGAGAAAGATGAGGTTTTCTACTCCTGTAAAGAGTGACCATCTCAGAAACCCAGGGGGGCAGTTCTCCCCTGTCCTATAGGGTCACTATGAGTCAGCGTGGACTCAGTGGGAGGAGACCCAAGTTTGGGTAGAAGGATCGAGGCACCGCTAAGTGAACGGAACCTCGGCGCATCACTCTAAGACAGTGTTTCCCAAAGGGCTCACAGGAAGGAGCCACGTGCCTGCAAAAGCAGTCCCCAGATGATGGGCTATCAGCTCACTGCCAACAAGCCCGTGCCGAGTCATAGTGACTCTCTAGGAGAGGGCACAGTTGCCCCTGTGAGTTTCTGAGACTGACTGCCTATGGGAGTAGAAAACCCTGTCTTTCTCCCAATAGGGCCTATAGTACAAGCGCTTTTAATTGCTAGGGGGATGCTGAGTAATTTTTTTTTCTTAAAAAGAGAGTGGTAGGTCAAATAAATGTGGAGACCTATGCAGCTAGTCTAAGGCATTGGGCTAACAGCAGGGTGGGCCATTCGATACCCCGCAGCTGCTCTACTGTCTGCAGATGAGGCTGTCTGTTCCGGGAAGATTTATTGTCTCAGAGACCCAGTATGGGGTCGCTTTGAGGTGCAGTAGACTCAGTGGTGTGGGTTTGGTTTGAGGTTTGTTTTTTTTAAGGCAGACAGCACCAAGCCACACATTCCAGGCGAGAGCCCTGACTTCTCTCTGCTCACACCTAGCACCATACCGCAGAATCAACCAGTGGATTTCTCTGGATCCAGTCACCTTGGAATACACGCTGACGTGTCAGGCTGCGGGTTACCCCAAGGCTGAGGTCATCTGGACCAGCAGTGACCACCAAGTCCTGAGCAGCAAGACCACCGTCAGCAAGGGGGAGGAGGAGCTTCTCAATGTGACCAGCACGCTAAGGGTCAACGCCACGGCCGGCGAGGTCTTCCACTGCACGTTCCGGAGGCCAGGTCTCCAGGAGAACAGCACAGCAAAGTTGGTCATCCCAGGTAACATTCGGAATGTTGTCTCTGTGAGCAGGCACCTAGCTCCTACCCTGCTCGTGGTAGGCCCTCCAGGTTTGCAGAAGGAATAACACGAGAGTCGCCCAAAAAGCATCCTGCCGCCTCACTTTCCTTCACCAGGTCAATGGCGACATAATAAGTAGTCAGCAACTAGCAGAGGTTGGCAGTTCGAATCTGCCTGCCACTCAGCAAGAGAAGGAGGAAGCAATCTGTCTCTGTAAAGATTCCAGCCTTAGAAACCTATGGGGAGTTCTGTTCCTTCCTGTGGGGTCCTTATGAATTGGAATCAACTCCATTTGGAACCAATTAGGTCTGTCTATTCAATGAATATGCCTTATGTACCAGGGAAACTGAGGGGCCCAAGAAGCATGGTCATTACAGCTGGGCTGCTCACCACAAGGTCAGCAGTTTGAAACCACTAGCTGCTCTGAGGGAGAAAGACGAGGCTTTCTACTCCAATGAAGAATTACAGTCTCAGAAACTCACAGAGGCAGCTTTACCCTGTCCTCTAAGCTCGCGGTGAGCCGCCATCAACTGGATGGCAGGGAGCAGGGTTAGGGTTCCCTATGTTAGTTCGGGTAAAATAAATGATGGTGTTTAAAGGTGTTTGAGTCTCTTTAAGACACAGATCCGGCTCCTTCTTATGCCCCAGCCTTCAGGAGGGCATATGTGCCCAGAAGCCCAGCTGGGTGGGCTAGGCTTCCATGTCAGCCCAGGGAGGTTCTGAGAAGCACGTCTCAGAAGAAGTGCTGACAGAAAAGCTCAGAGCAAACCACCCACTGAACAGCAGGATAGAAGCGTCAGCCCCTAGGAGAGCGCCCCACAGACAGCCCTGGGACCCACAGAACAGACTAGACAATTCAGAGATGCTCCCCCTGGAGTGCTGGCCCTGAGGTCCCAGAGTGGCACCTGGCAAGAACTCTCTAATGGGTCCCTGCCTTCTAAAAGGAATCCCCGTGCGGGCAAATGGCTAGCGAGCTCTGCTGCTAGCCCAAAGTGTGGGGCCAGAACCTATGCAGAGGCGCCTGGAAGTAAGGTCTGGCAATCCACTCAGGAAGAAACGGCCATGGAAGCCTTAGGAGCACAGGGCAGCTGACAGGCGTGGGGTCACCGGGAGTCAGCATGAACTCCGTGGAAGGTGGTTTGGTTGGGGGTTTTTGTTGTTGTTGTTTTTCATTTTTGGGGGGGTGGTGGTTTCTGTTTCACAGCTGTTGACCTAGAGCCCCTCATGCAGCTGGAGGCTGACCCACAGAACCTCACTTAACCACGCTGGGGCTCAGAGTTGGGGGTTAGGACACTGGGGGGAGGACGGTAGCGGCCTTGATGACTGCACAGTGGGACGGAAGGCTCCCTGGCCCTGAGCCATCCCCAAGGCCGCCTGCAGAGGGGACTGCGGTGGTCCACAGGGCCGGTCACCAGACCTTTCTTCCAGCCCGCCCCAGACTAGAATCATAACTACACAGGAGCCCCACAGACAGATGGGTGGTAGCAACACATGAGGTCGGAAAGCAGTCCCGGGCTCCTGCACCCCAAACTCAAAGCCACACTCACTGCCACTGAGTCTCTGAAGACATATAGTGACCCTATAGGACAGAGTAGGACTGCCCCTGTGGGTTTCCATGACTGTAACTCTTTCCGGGATTAGAGAGCCTCGTTTTCCTCCTGCAGAGTGACTGGTGGTTTTGAACTGCTGAGCTTGTGGTTAACAATCATCGTGTAACCCACTATGCCCAAGGCTCCTTGGGCTCCTGCATAGAAGGCGAGAATTCTCCCACTGAAACCCCACTGTCTCCACCCCAGCCCTGACTGTGGCTTTGAGACTCATATGAGACATGTACACTCCAATCGTGTGCCATGAGACAGAGGCAGGCTGGCTGGCTGCTGGGGTGGCTTTATACTTGGGCCGTGTGGACAGGGTGGTGGGTTTCAATTTCCCCACGGGGCCGCAGGAGTGGTCTGATGGTGAGAGGTGGGGTTGGCCACCCCTGAGTCTCCATGAGCCACAGCCACCCTTTCCTTGCTGCCTGAACCCCCAGGTAGAGAGGCTGGTGGGAGGTGCCCATGGCTGTGTGTTTCCAGATGTCCAAACTGCAAAAAGAGAGAGAGGA